ACCCTCACTCGCACGCACACCCACCCATACCCCGCTTCAGCAGTAGGGTATACCGTTTAGCCAGGCATTATTAGTTTTTTTTTTTTTTTTTTCTTAACGTATTTTATGATACATCCGAGTAAAATAAAAAAAAATTCAAATAAAAAAACTATAATTTGTTTCCCTGCTGGTGATGTAACCAGATGATGATGATTGCTTTACTGGCTGCCTGCAGAGGATGTATAATCTGCATTCCTGCTCCGCCAACTGCCTAAAGGTGTAAGGTGAGGAACAAATGTATGCAAAATAGTTTATGACATCAATTCCCTGCATCCGTGTATATAAAAGCGGCGGCCAATCTCCATAACTTTGTTGTAATAATTTTTTAAATTCGTTATGCAGTTGCAGAAGTACATCTCATTAAGCTTATTTCTCATGCTTCGATCATTCACGGCCCCAAACTTCTTGGATTCCTTCGATTTTCACTTCAGGAGTTTGTTTTACAAATTGGATTGTTCTTGCGGCAAGAATTCATAAACCAATTAAAATCCTTTTTTTTTTTTTTGCTTTTCGGATTTATTACTATTCTTTTTCTTTCAAATATTTCAGTCTTCGCGAACATTAGTATTTCACACATTAATATACTTTTTCTTTATAATATTAATATTAACAACAATAAGTATATTTTATTTTTTTCAATTATATGTTTAAGTGTTCCTTGTGGGTTAATGGTTTTTTTTCTTCTCAGTATCATATGTAATTACGTGGATTGTTTGCACAGGCTCTCCCGATAAGCAACTCTAACCAACTTTACATGCCGCAGCTATCTCCACTCCATATGCAAAAAAAATAACGTTCCATATATGCTGTGCTTTGTTTTTCAAATCAAAAAATTATACCAACATGTATGTGATAGTAAGACCGTGTCAAGCACTAAGCTGTTCATTATCAGTTTTTTGTTTCTTTATTTGTCGATCTATTTCGTTTTCGACTGTTTTAAATATAAATAAATCTGTGAAAAGCAAATGTATTTAGACGGTTAATTGTGTAATTGTTTTATTCAGAAATAATTAAATATTTTAAATTTATTTATCTATTTACGTATATTGTTTCGCAAAAGTTCTCGCGATAAAAAATGTACACATCTTTACAATGAAAAGAAAGAAAAGCAACTCCTCCGATAAGAAAGTCATACAACTCGCTCGTGAAAAAACTAAAATCAGACTCCGCTTTTCACCGCACCACAACCAAAACTCAACTCGAACCTTTCACAGCACAAACTTTAACTCACTCTTTTTGTTAAGACTATTGAGCTAAAACAAAATTAAACTTTTTAGCATGAACGGTAATTAATTTTATTTTCTTTTCAAGTCTTTATTACATTTGGCTTTTTTTCTTTTGTCTTTTTTTTCCAAGTTGATCTATTTTACTTTGCAATTTTGAGTCCTTTTTTTCGCTTTTCAAAACAAGAATTCATAAAAGATTTAAAAGCCTTTCTTCAAAAGCACAAAATCAATTCCGGACAGGCCAACACTGACTTTTTCGATGGCACAACACCAACTGGCTTTACAGCACCTAATTCATTCTTTAACAGTACTAAAGCTAACCGACTTTTCCGGTCCAAACACTACCTGAGTTTTTCCAGTACAAAAACGAACTGATTTTTGTTCAAAGCATCAGGGAAAAAATATTCTTAAGTCACACAAACGGACTTTGGACTGTTCCTCTTTTCATAGTGCTTTCTTGCAAGATAACGTTCTCCACAGAGAGAGAGAGAGACAATTATGAATGGGGACTATTGCACAGTACAGTAGGCCGTTATTCTTGCAAATGAGGTTTTTGCATAACGGCAGGACGTTATTACGGTCTTACTTAGTCCGTTGTGAGAGAGTAGTGGTCAAAGTAAACCTACGGAGCTCCTACTTCGCATATGTACGCAGACGTTACAAGATCACAATTCCAAAGCCCTTACTTAGTTCCTTCTAATCTTATATTTCCATCTTTTGTCGTTCGCACCAATTTTTTCGTCTATGTTCATTTATCTCTCTTCAAATTTTAGTTGTTTAGTTAGTAGAGTTTGCTCAATAACGAGAACCGTAAATCGGTTTTAGATTAGCGGTATTCGTTTATCTTTTAAGTTATCCCCTCTGTTTTCTTAAAAACTAAGCAGTCATAGATCGGCAGAAACCCCCTACGCTAATGCCATTACAATTTGAACCGACCGATGTCGCTGGCGATATGGTGCTTGGATGTAAAAATCGTACGCGGATGGACCTGCCCCATCTAAAAAAGCAGAACAAGCGCTTGGCCTTGATCCTTCTCTTAAGCTTAATGTCTCATACTCCATCGAATGCAACAACCAGGGTTTTACATTTAACACCTTTGCTTTGGAGTTCAAATGTATAAACGTTACCAAAAAAAAATTTTTTTTAAGGCATAGCTCCTTTTGCGGTAGAGCGTTTACAAAATAATCGACATGCTGTGCCGTCTGACAAAAAATTTAAAGACGAAAACAAGAAAAAGGATCAATCAAACCATTAAAGAGCTCATACGGTGTGACGGAACTCGTGGGTTAAGTCCGTTTTGGAGGTCTGTCGTCTGTGCTGTTCGTTAGTCCCTTCTTAGTCCGCCAGCGTACATTCCCCGTCCCCCTACTCTCACTCACACGCATACCCACCTATACTCCGCTTTAGTGGCGGAGTATACCGCTTAGCCAAACGTTATTAGCCAAGTACTTTTCATTTTAAATTTCATCCTTTTTATTGTCTTAACTCGATACGTTATTTATTTACTAAAAATTTCTTTTCATTATTGCCTAGACTTTTCCTTATTCTCCTCATTCGCTCAATTTTGTGTTTTCAACGATTTAAACACCGATTATGGCTTTGAGAATATGTATGAAAATATTGAATTAGGAATTGTTCTATTTATACATTGGTTTATGATCAGTTTGTAAATAAAAATTTTAAAAAAGTTTCAATGGATATCAAAAAATAAGTTCTTAAATTTAGTTTACAATTTATATATTTAGAGAATGGGCTCGATGCCGCTATCTCGGTCTTTACCCACTGCATATTGCTATTATTTTCTGTTGTTTCTAAGTTTGGATTAACAATAAGTGCCCACGGATTCTCATTCGTGTTTACAGCAAAGGGTTGTTGTTTTCGTTGATTTATGGATGGTCCGGAAGGTTGATGTTGTTGAAAACAGTTCGACTTTGGTGGAATAATAGTATCACTGAATGGTTTCTAGGCTGATATATTTCCAGCCAGTTGCAACATAGCAGGTTTAATTAGATTATCTAATTCGACTAAAGCTGAACTCTTACCCAAAAACGCCTGAAGATTTTTTTATGGGGTTTCCTTGTATTTGCTTCTAGTCCAGATGCACTTATTGATGGGACATTTGCTGACGACAAAAATTCCAATTTGTCAGTATTATGAGTCCCGTTATTAGTAGGTTGTTTTCGCTGATGATAAATTTGCAGCCTTATCGCGATTTATTATAATGTCGAATTCGTAAATATTAATAATAAATAAAGCCAGAATTTAATTAAAACTTCTTTCAATCAAATCAGTTTATGGCATATTATACAATACATACAATATATCTCTGATACAGTATATTTTGTATACTTTACATTTTTTCTCAATATTATTTTTTTCTTTTTGTTTCTTTAACACCATTTCTATTTTTTTTTTTTCATTTTTTTGTTCTCATTGAACAGACATCATTATACCAATAAAGTAGTTGTAGTTATAATGTGAAAATCTGAACAATTCTAGCCGTGCCGAATTCAATTTCTAATTCGAAAGCTTTTTATTAGTAACTGCTTGGATTTTTATAAATAATTTTTAAAATTTTTAAAATTTTTTAAATCCCTTTATTTTATTTACTTAATTAATTTCTCTTCCAAACACATTTCCTTATTCGTGCAGTTTTTTTTTCTTTACTCCAATGGCGTTTACTTTGCCAAGTTATTGCATTTGTGTTCTTTTCTTTTGTTAACCCTTTCTATTTTTTTTTTTTTTTTTTTTTTATTATAAAAGATGTTTGCTAACATTTTTCGTAATACTTTATTAACACTTCACGACCATTTGTTTTATAAAAAATGGCATCTTTTTCTAATAATTTTCTACATTATTTGCTTACCGATCAAAAAAATGCTTCTTATTCTTATTTAATGCTCCATATGTTTTCTTTTCAAGCCAAAAACATTTCTCTATCTTACTTACTCTATTGTGGTAGAGTAGTGGTCAAAGCAGCAGGCAGAACCGCTACGCTAGTTTTGTACGCGGACGTTACAAATTGTATGTATATATAGTGATATTTTTATATATATACATCAGCATAAATTACTTTATATTTATATGATTCATATGTAGTCAAATAAATGAAAGAAAGCGGTTATTTATTTTGGACATCATATGTTGTGTTAAGGAATTAAATGCTAGAAGTAAGCCAATCATATTTATTTAAGAAATAATACGATCAATCAAAATTTTGGAACAATTTGGAATTTTGTGTATATATACAACCCAATTAGGAAATGCCAAGGTAGCATGCATACTTCGTATTAAAAGAAAAAAAATATTTTTCCAAAATGTCTATGGTTAGCTGCTACATATCTTTATATTAATTATAAATTAGAAAAATACCATTTGGTTGATAATAACAAGAAGAAATTAAAGAAAAAAAAAATAGTTTCATGAATGTAAAAATAAGCTAATAATAAAAAAATTGCGATTTATTCTTATGAACTTAAATATATGAAATGTATTTATATTTCATTCTTATATTATTATTATTTATATTTAAGAAAGCAAACCTTGAGTAGTCAAATCCTATCATGTTTTACGTTCAAGGTTTTACAAAACTTGCATGTCAGCCGTCTCTTTTTTAATTTTGGCAACCCTTCTCCCAATCGGTAGTGTTTTATTTTATCTTTTCTTGGAAACATCTTTTTAAAAATTTTCAAAGATGTTTGTTAAACTATTATTTTATAAGATTTCATTTCAAAATAAAGTTGTCAATACAAAAAATAAACAGTAACTATTCGTAAAATTATTACATTAATTGCTTAGCAAGGAATATTTTGTAGAGATATAGAGAAGGCTACGTACAGTGGCGTGGATGTGTTTTTGGTTTCATTTAAAGTTAATACAAAAGCAACAACAGGGATTTGAAGAAGTGGTTAACAACAGTTATACTGAAGTAAGAATAAAGTTTGGGGGGTACATAATAAACGAGAATTACATCTGTGCAGTCCAAACAACAACAGGAACAGTATTTTTTTAAAGTTAATTCGGGCACCATTTAAGGATAACACAAAGAAAAAATATCATCGAAGGAAGGCGATTTGTTCTTATCTAATTGGAGTCTATTGTGACCAGCAATTACCAGCAATTACCAATGCCAACCACAAAAACATTGATACCGTGTATTTTTTAGTCATTTAGTTTTATTTGTATACATACATATATATTTACTTATTTTATTTTCATGTACAGTAAGCAGCCTACATTTTCTCAACTCTTTTATGGATTGTTTTCACACGAATTGTGTGTCCAAATCTGTTTTGGACAGATGTATGGTATGCTGGCTTTGTGAGCGCATAGGTTACGGTAAGTGCTTTAGGGTATCTGCAAGAGTAATTAATGCATTGGATGACTCTCTAAAGGGGATCTATTGTACAGCAAGAAAAATAAATTTCAACTGATAGTTGTCTCACAGCAAGCGTGGCTTTAGGGACTTATCCAAAAAATTAATTGCGCTTTATGACAAATTAAACGAACCACAAGGTATCTACGAAAGGTCTAATTTTGCGGAAGACAGCCACCCTAAACCGTGTTGAAATGTCGCTTGTGGAGAAACTTCCCCTGCGCCACTTCCTGTCCCCAAACTCTCGTGTCGTTAAAGACAACAAGTAAGAAAATTAAATTCGAGCAACACCGAATCTTTTATACTCAACACCGTGTTTATTATTAGTCGTGGCTTATATATAAAACTTATAACTAAAGAAATAACAATAATAAAAAAATAATATCACTGGAAAATGCCAATGTTACATATTTTAGTGCATTAAAGTAATCAAAAAAGTTTTACACGGACGGAAAAATGTAAATCAGCGTAATTAGTGACTGTTATTTTTCAATTTCAAACTTTGCTTTTTTTATAGCAACCTAAATAATATAGCTTGCGAAATTATGCTGATACGAGTCTTTCATAATAAATTCGATACTTAACTATTTTTCTGTTTTTTTTGAAAGGAATACATATGACCATTACGCCTTCCGTGCCATTGCCTGATTTCAGTGTTTTGAAAAGTGTAGCTTTTAATCTAATTTCTTCTACTAATATTTTTGCTACCGATTTGCCTTCTTTGGTCTTTAGAGATCACATATTGATCTGACGGTCTAAATGGTATTACAGTGTCAGTTGAGATTACTTCAAAGCTTTTTGAAGATTTGTCTGTTATTTCCAATGATTCTTTGGTATGTTTAACGATTTTATTCTTTTGACAAAGATTACAATTATTTACAAATTTTTTCACCATGTTGCTCATTTTTTTCCAGTTATAGATGTGTTTTAGTTTTGCTAAGGTTTTTCTTACACCACACAGACCTGATTGTGGTGATTCATGGTACAGTTTTATTACTTCATTTTTGGCTATGTCGTCATTTAGTATTTTGGGCTTCTCCTACATTCTGATTATCATATTGCTGTTCTTTATTTTCTTATATTCCTCTTTAAGTTTTTATATGTTAACATATTTGAATAGTTCATCATCATTGGCGAGTACAAATTCGGTACATTTCAGTTTTCTAAGTTCAAAAAGTAGCTTCTTCAGAAAAATATCTAAGTATCGAGAAGTATGGGAGATGTTAAAAACAGTAAGTTTATCAAAGTATTTTTCCTTTTATTGGAATCGAATCCAAATTTGATTTCTTTCTATCGTACGTACACTCTCACATTCGAGGATGATTAGCCTCCATATGATGTGTAGTATTTTTCTCTTCCTTGTTTTACCTAGACATACCACGTGTAATTATCAAAGTTTTTTTGCATTATTTTCTATGCATCAGTTTCATTCAATGCGGCATAAAACATTAACATTAGCATTATTTTTGCTTATTTTATAAACGAAATCAAAGTCATAATTAGATAATTCTAGTTTAATCCGTGTCAATCTTGACGAGGGATTTCTATGTATGAAAAGTTCAATTAGTGACCTGTGATCAATAATAATGGTGAATTTTTTTCCGTAAAGATAGGGGCGGAAAAAAGTGATGTTCTAGTATATAGCAAGTAATGTCTTCTGATGTACGTTTAGCAAGCTAAACGTCAACTTGCATAGGATACAGGAGAAAAGAAAAAGGATAGCAGCTAAAGCTGTTTCTGTAGCATCACTAGTGAGAATGGAAAGTCTAGTAAGGCCCGAATATTGAAGAACTAGAGATTCCATTAATTTTTGGAGGAGTTCGGCAAATGCTATATGGTCAGAAGAAATTAGCATTTTTCGTTGGTAATGCGATTAAGGGGAATTTTTAATAAAATGTCTATAAAAATTGTAGAAAGCTGCGAAGCATATAACGTCATCTGTGTTCTTGGGGATAGGATAGTTTTTGATAACTTCAAATTTTGGTTGGTCTGATTTAGCTCCTTCGGGTGCGATCAAGTGTCCAAGATATGTAACTTCTTTTCGAAGGAAATTAAACTTTTGAAAGCCTAATTTTAGATTATATTGGGCGAGTCTTTCAAATACTTTAGTAACGTTGTTATTATGATTGCGTAAGCTACGACCGTATACTATTATGCCATCTACATATAAGAAAGCTTTTGTTTCTAATCTGGAAACTACTGTATTAAGCATGCGTTGGAAGCTATTAGATGATATCTTAACTGTGAAGTGTAACCTCGTAAACTGATAATGGCCATTGTTGGTCAAAAATGTTGTGAGCGGTTTGAATTCGTCGCCGTATTTCATTTGATCGAGCAAATTTTTCATGTCTAGGGTATTAAAGTATTTTGTTCTTCCTAACCTACCTAGTATGTCTTTTATTCGTGTTCATGTTAACTTGCCGTTTACAATTTTGTCATTTAGTTTTCTATAGTCAATAACTAACCTCGATTGTTTTGCATTCTTGTTTTCTTTTTTGGGGATTGGAAGCAGCGATAAGTTATAAGGGATGACGGATGGCTCTATAATCTTGTTTTGTAGCAATTTACTGACCCGACTATTAATTTCATTGGCCTCGGAATGTGGTAAATCGTAATTTTTGGTGTATACTGGTGTTTCGCTGTTTGCGTTGCATAATTTAATATATATATTCCCTGTTGCTGGTGTTCTGATGTTCGCTAGGTATAGGCCAGTAGTTATGTATCTGTTGCAAAGATCTTGTAGTATGTATATTTTGTATGGTACGATAATTTCTGATCTTGCGGGGATATCAGTATGTTGTGTGGTGTTTTCTATCATATGGAGAGAGTGGTTATTATTTCTTGTGTTGCTGTTGGGGGTGGATATGTAATAATCAATATCGCGAGTGTCGAGTATTCCGTCGGTGGCTATCGGAGTGTCTTGGGGTATTATTTGGAATTTACAATGTTGCGATTCCCTGGCCCTTACATTTGACGAGGCAGGCAATAGCGCAATATATAAAAAGAAAAACTTCGCTTTTAATTGCTACAAGTTATACAAGGACTACGATCCCTAACGTATAGTTGCACGCCGGGCCGGGACAAACTTCCATCGTGTGCTCTCAAAAACTGCGCGGATGCACTACATCGGGTTATTGAATTCATTTCTAATTGTTCTCTTGTAATGAATAGTTTTCCGGCCTGTCGGAAAACTAGTTTTATTCTTCCACTTTACGGTAATAGACGCCATGTTTTACATCTCGGATTAACTTTATTATTACATCTTCTATAGCTCTTAGCATGCAGTTTTAAAGGGTAGGTCGACCATAATTAACCTTTTTGTTTCTTTTGCCCTGTATTTGAGGCTTTTTCAAAGGCGCCCAGATGCATATTATCTATGCTGATTTAGGCAAAGTCTTTGATAGAATTAGCCACAAACTATTACTATGGATATTGCGCCGCTTAGCTTTCCTTCTATATTTTTTTGATTCGTTATCCTTCTTTCTAAATGATAGATCTTCTTGTCATTCTGATGAGATTCATGTCACTTCAGGTGTATCACTGGGGAGTCACCTGGGTCCGATTCTGTTTATTCTGTACATCAGTGAGCACCCTCAGCTATTGCATCCGCCAATATCGTAATGTATTCAGATGACGTCAAAATATTCTGGCTTGTTAATTCAAAAATTCAATCATGTCTCCTCCAAGCCTACGTAAATAACTTAGTAATGTGGTGTTCTTCTAGTTTTATGTGGTTAAACTAAAAAAATGAAACTGTCATTTTCGAGACGAAAGTTGTTCGCAACGGAATATTTTATGGACTCACTTAGGTACGAGAACCTGGATTTATTTCTGGACCTAAGTGTCTTCTGTGATCGTAAACGTCAATTAAATTTGCATCTTGAACATTTTGTGAATGAAGATAGATCAGTGCTAGGCTTCATTCAACGCCGGTCGAGGGAATTTGGCAACCTTTACGTGACAAGGTTCGTTAGTTTAGTACACCTTGCATTGGAATACGCTTCGCTTGTATGGTGACCATCGTATCATTGCCAAGTGAATTTTACAGAATTTTTGTAAAAGAACTTTATGCTTTTACTCTAAAAAATTTGTATTGGGATCCAAGTGCGCCCTAACCTCTTATGAAAATAGGTTGCTAATTATATCCTCGTTGTTCCTTGAGAAACGTAGAATTGTACTGGGTGATTTAAGGGCGACATTCACTTGTCCTTTCTATTAAGCGCGACTCATTTTAAAGCCCGTCCAAAAAGAACTTTCTTCGTATTAAAATTAGCCAATGCAGGTTAAATTGTAAGCTTTTTAATGCACATAGCATTCTCTGTACCAATCTAAATGAGAAATTAAGTTAAAATAAATAAACTAAATAATAAAAAAAGAATTCTGATTTTTTCAATCTAAAGTATCATAACTAGGATTTGCTATTACCTTAATGATCACATGGCGAGGGTTAGTGGACTATATAAAATTTTCACTTCAAGATTATATAAAATTTTGTTGAGAAACTGAATCTTCTCAACAAATTATTAGAAAGCAACGTACAATTTTATTGGAATAAAAAGTGCCAAAAAACTTTAAATACAATCAAGACAAACATTACCTTTAATCAGATATTGATTCATTTTAACCCAAAATTACCAATAATATTAACAAATGATGTTTCAAACAATGCAGTAGCAGGAGTTATATCTTACAAAATTGATGAGGATATTAAAATGAAGAAATGAATGAATGAAAGAAGAATTGGCATTGTCTATTCTGCCATTAAAAGATTAAAACAAAAGTTAGTAGGTAATCAATTTATATTAAGAACTGATCATAAGTCATTAAACTGCATTTTTGGTCGAATGAAGAGATTATAAATAATGGCTTCAGAACGCTTACGGAGATGAGCTTACATTATCCAGCTTTAACTAAACACGTTGAAAGAAGCGGTAATCGGAGAACATGTGTTAATCTCGTTGAAATTAAATTCAACTATATCTAAATTTTATGGATAACGTACTTAAAACTCGTAGAAATGGAAGTTTTTCTAAATTGAGTAACGCAATTTTTTAACGATCACGTGATGATTTGAAAGAGAATGGGTTCCCTAGAGTTCCCAGGAGAACATGATTACGTTCTCCTGACGTTGAATTTATCGCTATTCGTGCGAATATGCCTGATAAACATCTATTTATAACCTGCTCTTATATTCCCTTATATAATTCTGATATCTCCGTTTACACGAAACACGCTGCCCTCATTTGTGAAGTGGTCAAGCGGTCTAGACCCACCGATTTGGTCGTTGCATTGGGTGACTTCAATTTGCCTCAAGTCACTTGGTGTAACACTGATAATTCTGGCTCTTTGGTTCCTACTTCAACGTCTGATAGGGCTGTTGTGTTCTTTAGTGAATTGTTTGATCATAATTTGGGTCAATATAATCGTACCCCTAA